AACGAAATACTGACCGAACCTACAGAGTCGATCTGCTGTTGCGTGACTGTAGACAGAACCAGGTGAACTCAGTTAGTAAACCACGAATCAAAACCAGAAATCTATGCCGATTAGTGGCTAGATGAAGGCGCTATACTATTACTATTTAATATTACCTTGAATTCTTAGTGGAACATAGGGCTTTAACGACCCAGCCCCACTTCGTCCTATCTTCTGCATTCCTCTTCGGCCTGGACCACGGTTGTACATAATCCCCTCTATATCACTCTAGGACGACCCATTCGTCGCTTCTCATTGGGATTCCACTTGAGGGCCTGGTGCGCGATGTCATTCGACGGTATCCCCGATGTATGCCCGATTCACCTCCACTTTCTCCTACATATGTGTTAAGTGGTAGGCTCTTGATTGTTTTTTCCCACAGTTTCTTGTTACTTGCTCCCTCTGGCCATTTGATCTTCACTAGTTGTTGAATAAAGTCTGCAACCTACTGATGACAGGCACTAATCAACATGTATGAGTACTTAAAGATCAGAGAAGTGAAGTCCTGCATAAACTGACCATAGCTTAGGCATTCGATGACTCATTCAATAATAATAATACCAGTGGATTACAGTTAAGTAATATCAACATAATAATAAACTGAATGTCAAAAAAATTAGAAAAGATAATATTACAAATTCATGAATTTATAGTCTCTGCTGAAGGCCAAGGTAGTAGTAGGGGCTGGACTTGCTTCTTTTGGATACAGAGCACTGGTTGTTTGAGGCGAATCGCAATGGCCTCTGCTGTTTAGAGAATGTGGTGCTTCGAAGATTTTCGCAATTTATTAATCACCCGGTAGATGACGGAGAATGGTTTTGCACCAGATGATCCAATATCGAACTGTTAATGATTTTCACTACAACTGTAACTTAGCCATAATGGGAGATGTTCTCGAATACGAAAAATCAAGTTCCTAGAGCAACGGCAGATATAATCACTCCACCACAAGTGCAGTTGAATTGGTAGGTACAATTTGAAGTGGCTAGTCTAGTTACTTCATCTTTCAGTCGAGGAATCACCATCAGTCGTGTAGAAAATAAGACGTGTATTTCGCCAGCATTGAAAGATTTTTGAACTGATTTTCTTAATTTCCTCGTAATTATCTCACTTGGTATATCGCCCTTGAGTTGTAGCCGTATATAAAGAGGCTTCTTGTTAACGGATAGTTAGTAGTCTTTTTCCGTGTTCTTTGTCATGTGTTTCTTGATAAATTTGTCGAGATATCTATTTTCAATTTTGATTACGACAAAATTACATAGCATAACAGAGGTTTCATGAATAATGAACGTTTAGAAAATCCAAACAAGTGATTCAGCGAAGAGACTCTTTTCAACGATTGTTTTTTCCACAGTTTCCTGTTACTTGTTCCCTCTGGCCATTTGATCTTCACTAGTTGTTGAATAAAGTCTGCAACCTACTGATGACAGGCACTAATCAACATGTATGAGTACTTAAAGATCAGAGAAGTGAACTCCTGCATAAACTGACCATAGCTTAGGCATTCGATGACTCATTCGAAAGATAGCGAAGCAACGCGTGTGCCAGCTCGACAAATGAACACTGGCAGCTCGTGGTGAAGCCTGATATCGCAGAGATTAACACTTCCTGAATAATTCTGAACATGGTTGTGGAGAGATTAAAAAAAGCATCTAACCAACAGTTTTCAGCTAATGTGCTACAACAGTGTTCCTCGAAGTAAGCCGAGTAGGCACTCAGTGAACAAATAGCAGACAATGGGAAATTGGTAGTAGACGATCCTATCACCTGCCTCCGCAGACTAAGCCCATAGTGTCGTAGACCAGTGCCTCTTCTGCTAGTAATGTCAAAAGTGATGGATAGCCTAGTGGGTGATTAAATCAAAAGAAATGTTCACTGAAATACAACTTTGCACGAAGCTCAAAATGGATGAGGAAAAAGGTAGTTTTTGCAAGTTCAGAATAAATGGGAAGTATGCTGTGACCAGAATATTTCAGTTTGTGCTCTTCACGTAGAACTTGCCGAGGGGTTCAACTCGCTGTTGCAGGAAACCCTACTACTGAGAGAGTCGAAACGAGGAATTTCAGTTCAGCGCTAGCTTGAATTGGGGCTTCTCTTGAGGACGATGAGCCTTCCACGAAGGCAAATGTAGCATGACCTACATGGAGGAAGGCCACTGCTAGGGTACCGCAAGTGACAATTCAAGGTTCACTGCTATAGCTGATTTTCACAAATGGTCACATTGACGACTTAATTTCTCCATCACTTCTATACGTAAGTCATACAGAGCTGTGCGGGCCGTGAGAAACACAAGATTCGATTAAGCTGTTGACAGTCTAACTAAACTGGACAACTGGACGATGGAAAATGGTTTAGCCTCCAACTGTGAAAGGTGTCAGGCTATGTTCATTCTTAAACTACGAAAATAGATGTCCACGATTTACAGCGACTTTTGATGGATAGATTGAACATATTTGCCAACCCCGCAGGAGATGAAACCAAAATTAAAGCTACTTGTCACTGGATTGAAGAGTCAAGCGTATGGAGTCCGGTCACAACACATCGATCTGGGTACCCTGAGCTCCCGGATTCTGAAGGACGACCTCATCACGAAATAAAAAGTGGTGCTAAGCCAAATGCATTCGATAAGACATTGGCAGGAAGGCACTACGGAGACTCTAGGGTCGGTCTAAGAGTATCCTTTCATCAAAGAAAAAACGACAGCGAAGAGCGAAGTTCGTTTCCCAATGAATTCACTGAAGGCAGGTTTGAAAATCACTCCATTAGCTGACAGCTTCAAGAAAACATGCTTATGTGAAGGAGAAGTAAGCCACTTCTGGCAGAAAACGAAGATCTTACTCATCTTTATACACTTTTGTGACGTCTAAATTTATTCGGTTATGGTCCGCAAAACCCGACCCCTACATTCGACGATATAACCGAAAAATCTTTGCTTACACACGCGCTATCACGGATTGTTCCAAAAGCAGAGGGAAGACGACTATTCTCTAGTATTTCAACTGTTCTATTAAGCAGCAATAACATCGAAACTCGCGTTTACCTCAACAGTGCCGTGAGGCAGATACACAGGTAGTGTCGGTTTCTGTATACAATACAGGTACTGCAAGACAGAGTTTGTTAACCATAGTTTAACGGTAGAAAGTAACATAGAATAGAGGCGAGTATTTCCAATGAGGTGGCATAAAAGGCCCTGTCCACAGAAATCAAACTTAAGGACTTCCCTCAGACAGCCAGAATGACCTTCTTCACTCAAACAAACGCCGTTTAAAACACTGCCAGTGTACACATAACCCAGAGGAGAAGTAGGACAATTGAAGATTAAGCAAGGAAAAAGGCGAATATTTAATGTCAAAATCAGAATATGATATGCAGATGACAAATTAATGTTACACAGTCTAGGGTGAAAAGGTTTACAGGCTGAGGATGTTGACGTTCACGGATACTAGGATGTATACTAACACAAGATCTAATACCAACAACTTCTACGGTATTCGTACCACGTAGACCAAAGGCAAAGCAAGACAACTGAATTGATCGTCTAAATTTCGAATTATATTTCGAGACCAATTCGGAGTGGGAGATGATTACTTGAGTAGCTAGGTATCGTCCTCGAACGAACGATCGTAACACGACGGCGTTTCGACTGGCGTGGATGCTTGACTGTAAGCCTTCCGCTAAACAAATCCACTTAAACAGTGACAGTCAAGATCCAGTGTCCAATGATGAGTACTGTGGATAATTCTGTGGAATAACCTATCCCTAGAAAATGTATAACAATTACAAGTTTTGTTGATACGTCTTACTCAGTGTGAATTATAAATAGATTGGCCAATAGGGAGTTCCAAAAACTTCGTCCACTATAAATTCACTATTTCACTACAATTTCTTATTACACATAGCACTATTAGCATAGTTAGCCACTTTCGCCTGTTGCTATTATGTTCGCATGCACCCTCGCTCTCTTATGCACATTTATCAAGTCACATAACTCGCCACATTCCTTCCGAACCGTCAAATTATTGCCTGCTTCAGAATAATTATTGATCTAGCCGGAGGATCACGCGGAAGAACGGAATTAGCGCATCCCGGAATCAATGATGCACTGGCACACACTATTCACTCACCCTATAATAAAGTGATGTACCTGCTCTTATTATGATAGGCAAAAATGTATTAGTCGATGGTTCTGGAGTCCACCAAGGACATAAGGTGGCACAGCCAAACTTCAGTTGCCGAAGGGACACAAACGTACCAGTGACTTTGGAATAGCCATCACACTGACAGGTAACCCTCGTCTTCTGACCCTAAGCCTAATATTTCCTTAACTCAACCTTGGTCTAACTCAAAACAACAGATACCTCCTTTACTAGGTTAACCGGACAATAACCTGTCCTCAACCTTCACCTTTCTCACATATAACCCGAAGCGTACAAGATATCCTGTTTGACACCATAACACTTCATCAGGCATGTTTTTTCATGAATATTGTGCAACGTACATGGTCTCATTGACTCATTTGCTGGGCTCTCTATGGTCACTGGTGCGTTCTGTACTTTTCCGTGCTTGCAGTTTAACTTCTCCCGCCCAAACGGCTCCAAAAACATAATTCGAGCGGTAAAGAGTTTTCAAGTTTGTCAACGGAATAATACATTGATTGGAAAACTAGCGCGGACTTACACTGTTGCGTTACAAATCTGGTGGTGGTAAGGTTTTTCATGTGTCTTCAATTACTTTTGATAAAATATGTTCCCAGACTCTGAACAAAATTTTCTGAACCCACATCGATGGTGGGTTTATTTTAACTTGCAGACTTCACAGGGAGCTTTGAGAAAAGTCAACAATAGGATAGGTGAAAAGTATTCAAGGCTGTATAAGATCTATATTTAAAAAACTGAAAGGAGATCCCTCAGTTTCCTGCTGTCTCTGCAAGTCCTATGAATACAACGCTTTTTGCTATGAGTGTGCATAGAAAAGTATCGTAAAACAGTCCGTCAATCTTATATTATATGAAAAACCAGAATGTAACAGGCTGTCTTGGGGTTAATTACTTGAGCTCTAAGCTGTTTTATCCAGTCATATATAATTTTCACAAATGCTAATAAGTTTTATTAGGAATGTAGGTGGATGAACCCTTGTAAGGTTCTGAAGAAACCCCAGCTAGCATTTTCGGTGACTCTAAAATATTGGTCGGTAGAGGTAGTTTCGTTTTGGGCTGCTATGGTTTAGAGTCACTGCATTCCCTTCGGGCGCATTGCAGAACGTGGAAAAATTATCTGCAGATTCCGCAGTGCTTCCGAAGTCAATGCTAGCTGGGACCACCTCTAATTCAATCACCAACCATCAATACGTTATTCATATATGAGGACCATGAGTACTCAAAAGGTATTACGTAACTGATATGTTCCACGCACATAATTTCAGAATTATAGACACTCGTGAAAGTGTTTTATTTATTTTCCTAAATAGTATCTCTTTAGACACTTAAGGGATTGCTTAAATCAAGATGTTTGGGGCAATTCGGTAGTTCTTATGACTTTGTTGGGGAGACCTGTGTGTTTCCGAGGAAAATTATTGCATTTCCCCAAGATTTCCGCCAAACAACTGCTCCAAATATTCCTATATGTGTGCCCCTGATTTCATTGCAAGGTGTTTTATTTTGTGGACTTAAACTCCCTATTAATAACCGTAGAAGCAATCTTCGTGGTGGTTTTTCTTATCGTACTAACTGAAGTCTAGCAAGATGGTTTATAAATATAACTAATACTGATTTGAGTGACTTACTGTTTTACTTTTGTATCCCATTTTACAAATTAATACCATTAGCCGTTAAGATGGTTTTACCTTGTTACGGAATGTTTGCAATTAGGGTAGTGCAATTGGTGCAAACTAGCTAAAGTGCTATCTCTAAAGACAGTTATCGTTGGCTAGTAATTCAATACCTGCTTCTGGCTCAATAAAGCTATTTGATTTTAATTACGAAATCTTTTTCCAGCAATTTTAGTAGAGTTAACAGCTCTGCTTTTGTTTTGAGTTTTACATTTTACTACCTCCTACTGCATAGACCTACAGAGTCATTGGCTATGTAATTACTGGTAGGACTTTATTTACTGCAATCTGTGTATCTACTTGGATTTACTGTACCCTTAAACTCACTTGATAGAGGTCATCGCCACCTACTGAATTGAAAACCGTCAGTCTCTCGGTTTCTTTTTACTGGATTAGGCTTCGTTAACAGTAGTTAATCAGTCGCAGTGGTACAATAATTGTCAAAATTGTAAGCTAAGATTCGTTGAACTAACGATCTTTGGATTTCGGATCTAAGTTCTGCTCCACACACACACACACACACACATTAAGTCCCGACCGAAAGCTGCTACCTTGACGTGGTGGTCGGGCTTGAACACCGCAATGATCTATTCAAGCTATACTGGCTGAGACTTATGTCTCTTGAGGTACTACCATGCCAGGCAGGTTGTTTGGATAGCGGTTAAACAAAAAGCAGCTACCCAATCCAACATCATGTCCAATACAAAATCACAAAATTTCATGCCGGATCGGCCGTGGCCCGGATTAACAACGACCGCGCTTCCTGCTGCCGTGTCACAGGGCGGGAGTGATAAATCTGCTACTGAGACACACCAAACAAAAAAGAACGAACAAAAACAGGCCGCGTGTGACCGGCCTCAAGCAGTTGTCCCCTGGGCTCTGCGGTCACGCAACCAACTTCCACGGTGTGGGCAGCCGGGAAGTAACAATCGCCCTCACAATCCGAAATGCACACGAAACCTCTCTATTACTCACTCATCTTTGTCTTCATCTTCATCTCTATCATCTTGCCTTCCTTCCACTGATGCAACTCCTCGACTTGATAGCTCTCCACTTCCTCTCCACTCTGCGTCCACTAAAAACGATGGAAGCCAAAAAACCACCACCGACAGCCTCTTAAAGCCGCGCCACCAATTTCATATAGGAGCTCTTAATGTTAGGACACTTTGCCAAATAGGACAACAAGCATCACTAGCCAAGACCCTGGCATCACGAGCCATTGATGTATGCTGTGTTTCAGAAACACGCATACAAGACCCAAGTGTGGTTATTCACCTAACCCCACCTGGCCAACAGGTTGAATCTGCAAAATTCACCTTGAGGGTGTCAGGAGATGCCACAGCTAGTTCACGAGGATTAGCTGGCGTAGGGATAGCTTTGAGTACTAGGGCAGAAAAGACATTGCTTGACTGGATCCCGGTAGATAGCCGAATGTGTGCTGTCCGCCTGAACGGATCAGTAAGAAGGAGGAAGGACTGCACTACTCGCCGATGCCTTTTCGTAATCTCCGCCTACGCCCCCACTGACTGCAGTTCAGATGAAACGAAGGATGAGTTCTACCAAAAGCTGTCTAGTTTGGTGCGAAAGGCTAAACGCTCAGACATAGTCGTTCTAGCTGGTGACTTTAACGCTCAAGTAGGGAAATTGTGTCAATCTGAGAAGGATGTCGGTGGCACCTATGGAGCTCCGTGCCAGCGAACCGACAACGGTGACCGTCTCCTACAGTTCTGCTCTGATAATCATTTGTTTCTTGTAAGCACTAACTTTAAACACAAGGAGAGACACTGTTTGACTTGGAGACCCCCTTCATCAAACCAACGCTGGACACAAATAGACCACATAGCAATAAGCTATCGTTGGCGTGGGTCGGTAGGAGATTGTCGCTCCTTCTGGAACACGTGCGTAGATACCGACCATGCACTGGTCCGCGCTCGGGTGTGCTTACGACTGAACGGACGTAGGAAACAGCTGGCGGTAAAACCATCACGTCCCCAGCTCGATCAGGAAACTAAATCCGTATTTGAGGAAGAACTAGCTAAACACATATCTGTGTTCGACAGCTGTGCTCACCCTGAAGAAGCTTGGAAAAATATCCAGGCAGCCATAGATACAGCTGTAAAAGCTGTGAATAAGGTAAACCCAAAGGTGAGTAAAAACCACTGGATCTCCACCGCCTCATCCGAACTGATAGATGCTAGAAGACTTATTCCGGCGAGCTCCGAATTCAATGAGGAGCGAAAGCTGCACAAGAGGAAACTTACGAAAAGTCTCCGCAAGGACCGTGAACAGTGGTGGGCGACAAAAGCCAAAGAGATGGAGAAAGCTTCGAGGATAGGCAACACCAGGCAACTCTTTGGACTCATCAGGGAAACGGGTGGGAGAAGACAAATCATCAGTGAGACAATCTCGGAAAAAAATGGCACTATAATTAGCTCCCAGGATAGACGACTGGATCGTTGGAAAGAGCATTATGAGGAGCAGTTTAATTTGCCCACAGCCACGCTCAACCTTCCGAGCATCCAACACCTCCCTGAATGGGATATAAACACAGGTCCTCCGTCACTAACTGAGGTTACTAAAGCTGTCACCAATCTGAAACTAGGCAAAGCAGCGGGACCTGATGGAATGACTCCAGAGGTATTTAAGTACGGTGGAGACAGCTTACTGTCCGGATTAACTGAGGTACTAGGCAGCGTCTGGGAATCAGAAGAAGTCCCATCGGGTTGGTGTAAGTCACTGATTATCCCCATATACAAGAAGGGAGACAAGTCTTCCTGTGATAATCACAGAGGGATTAGCTTGACTAATATAGTATCTAAAGTCTTAGGCTCAATAATCATGCGTAGACTGAGTGGTGCTCGGGAAGCACAAACACGAGAGAGCCAGGCAGGCTTTAGACCAGGAAGAGGGTGTATTGATCATATCTTCACCCTCCGACAGATTCTAGAACATAGGCATTCCTACCGGCGTCCAACAGTCATTATATTTCTTGACCTAAAGGCAGCATTCGACTCTGTCGATCGGGAAGTTCTCTGGAGATGCTTGGCTGTAAAGGGAATTCCAAGAAAATATATTGCACTGATTAAGGCACTCTACTCGTACTCATACAGCCAGGTGAGGGCTTACGGCGAGCTGTCATCTGAACTGATGACGACCAGTGGTGTCCGTCAAGGATGCCCATTATCTCCTTTTCTATTCAACTTCATCATAGATGTGTTAATGGACTTAACCCTAGGTGACTTCAGCGACTCAGGGATTGACTTGCTACCTGGGAATAATCTCGTTGACTTGGAATATGCAGACGATATAGTCCTTCTAGGCGAAGACGCTGACGAAATGCAGAGTCTTCTAAACACCTTGAACAGCAATCTACGAATGTTTGGCATGCGATTCGCTCCCGCCAAATGCAAGATGATGTTACAGGACTGGACTACATCGACGCCTAGTTTAAAAATAGGAAGTGAAGTGGTAGAGCACGTTGACCGCTTCACTTATTTGGGAAGTACCATCAGCCCCAACGGGCTGATCTCTGACGAAATCTCAGCACGAATACAAGGGGCTCGTTTCGCATTTGTTAGTTTACGCCGACTCTGGCGTAGACGAGATGTTCGACTATCGACCAAAGGGCGGGTGTACTGCTCATCAGTCCGCTCCGTCCTCCTTTATGGTTGTGAGACCTGGCCACTGAGAGTGGAAGACATGAAAAGACTAGCTGTCTTTGATCATAGGTGCCTGCGTTCTATTTCCCGTGTAAAGTGGCATAATAAGGTGAGCAACATGGAGGTTAGGCGTAGAGTTCTAGGTAAACAGGGGAAATCAATCGACGAAGTCGTGAAGCTACAAAGACTGAGATGGTTAGGACATGTGTTACGTATGCCAAGCCATCGCCTCCCTCGACGAGCAATGTTAGCGGATATAGGGTCAGGCTGGAAAAAAGCTAGCGGCGGTCAAACAAAAACTTGGCATCAGTCAATGAAATCCACAACAGTTGGTCTAAGCCACGTAGGAAGGTGTAGACTTCCAGGCTGGGGTCCTCGGGACGGTAAAAATCTATGGTTGGAAACAATTGGTGACATGGCTCAAAATCGTTCTCAGTGGCGCAGATGCATCCACTCCCTGTGACTTATGATCTTCAATGAAACTGTTTTGTATTTCTTTATTACTCCTTTGTCTCACACCTCTGCTCACTGTTTCTATTATGCTTTTCTTGTACTTTCTTCTCTTGCTTCGCGTGCTACACGGAATGTGGCGACTTGAACTTCCGCACATTTGTGCAAAGTTCTATGTCGAAAACAGACAGACAGACACACATTAAGTCTGACTCGTTTTCAACTGACTGGAAATAGAGATGGTTGTTCAGTACCATCTCCTTTTTCAAAGTTGTAAGCAAATAACTGAACTTCCACTGTAGTGTAAGTTAACCAGGTACAACTAAAGCATTTCCTGATTTATGATTATTAGTCTTTTATCTTCTTATTTATGAAAAACACTGAACTGGAAAATGTTTAGTACACTACAAAATCGTGTTTTTACTATTTCATTTAGACTTTTATCTACCTGGGCTCAATATACCATATGTACAGAGAGTTTACTACCAGTCAACAGTGATTATTTGTTTCGATTTCAACACAAAAAGGATTACTCAAACTATATGATAACTAATTGAATTTCCAATGCAAATCGCTGAGAAGCGTCAGTTAGAAAATATAAATACATTGTACACAGCGACTCTTAAGCTGAAACAAAAAATTCAAGATTTAGTAATCAAGCTAGAAACTCAAGTAAGTATTACTGTGTGTGTACTGAACTAGTTGGCTACCTAACTGCTTAAATTTCAGTATTTAAAGTTTCGCTTTATTCTACCAGTCTGTTGTACTGAGTTTATTGTTGTTGTGCATTTGGGATGCAGTATTATAAATACCGTTTCATTTCTACCCTACAGTAAACATTCTAACGACCAGTAGAGTAATTTATTTGCATTACTTAATTACTTATGCATTGATTTTCTTCTGACGACTATTCACTTCAATTGGTTAAATATATTAATACATGAATTCTATAGACCAATAGTTTACTTTATTTGTTGGTCGGTTTGACCTGTGTATTATTATAAAGTTATATTTGTATTATTATTTTAAAATGAAGGTTATTGTCATAACTTGTTATTTTGGGTAGGAGAGTAGGACCGTAAAGGTTAGTGGTTTATCACTCTTGATTTTGTGTACATGAATTTATATTTTTACGCGTCTACTAAGAACATTACATTAGCATGGTCATCTGAATCCATTTATAACTTCTTAAATATAGTAAGAAATTTACACCACTAAATTTGTTAGAAATTTCATCATTATGCCCACCAGATTTCTTCGGTCTGTGTAAGTGGAATTTCTACAAGGTAGTTAATAACTCGTCAAATTGTAATTGGCTGTGTTTTATGGAAATGGAGACCGAACATTGTCGAAGTGCTTATAAACTCTCCAACTAGCGAAAATTTGAAAAATCCATACAAAAAAGGGGTCTCCACAATACATTTGTATAAGTAGCCATATGTATTGCTCATGATTTACACGTGCATGATTTACGTGCTGCGCATGCCTAACCACCGCCTCCCCCGACGGGCTTTGCTAGCTGATATAGGTTCAGGTTAGAAAAGAGCCAGTGGTGGCCAAACAAAAACATGGCATCAATCCATGAAATCCTTGACAGTTAAACTGAGTCAGGTAGGGAGATGCAGACTCCCGGGTTGGGGCCCTCGGGACTCTAGGAATCAATGGCTGGAGACAATAGGTGACATGGCTCAAAATCGTTGTCAATGGCGCAGATGTATTCAGTCTCTGTAATCTTTCATATTCCTTTCTACCATTACCCATTCTGCTTCACTCTTATACTTGTCAAACTCTATTAATTCTCTTCACTCATCTTCTTGTCTACCTCTGTGTGCTATTTGGAACGTGGCAACTCGAGCTAGTGCACTTCGGTGCCAAGTTCTATGTTGAATCCAGACAGACAGATATATCATAGGGACTAAAGTGTGCTTTTATTTACTCACATAGTTAGAAACGTGCATTGGCTGTTTGATAAGAGAACTATGTCAATAATTGTGAGGTGGTTGAAAGTGGGTTTATAAAATAGGGATAACTTCAAGCAAGCAATTCAGATTTAACCTCAATTTTTTATCCACTAAACTTGTGTTCAACAGTAGTGGCAGCCAAACACCTTCATTCTCCATATAACTTGACTTCAGAATACACACGCTGATTGATAAACATAACTGGAGTATTGATTTTTAATCACGCTTTCAGCATGATTAGTCACTCGCTAAAATGCTTGGGTAACTCCCTTCTTTATCATAATTAAAGGAAACGACTTGTATGTACATCCGCTTACATTTTGCAATTTCGAAAATATTCTTGTCTTTGCCCTATATGCGTTTCTTTAATCTGATTAAGTGTTTATTACTCTGTCTGTTCTGGTATACTATGGAATATGGTGTTTCTCCTTCTTCACTCTTCAAAAATAAGATGACTTCTCATTTTAGTCAAGTACATCGGAGTATCTACAGTGAATATTTAATTATTCTATACAACTGACGAAAACTTTAAGCAATAAAATGAATTCAAATTATCCAGTAAATACTGTTATCACTCCATATATCACTTCTGTTTACAATGAGAGACATTCATTTTAGTTCAGCATACATGCAAGAAGAGTTTTGTGGATAATTCACATTAAGAAGAATTCGCTGATACAAAAGTAGAAGTGTAGAAAATACGAGATTAGTTTAATGATAATGGATAATCGGTCTTGTCATGCTGGTACTTGGTTGTAACTATAATGTGAGCTTACTAAGTTAGTATCACGTGATTGTGATTAACAGTTTAGAGTATGACTTTAGCGTGACGATCGCTTCCTGTAGATAAATCTGTACACTAATGTAGATGGCTGACTGTATATAACAAGTAACTAGGCTGTTTAAATGAGTCAAAGTAAATGTGTTCAATTACTAGCTCACTTATAATTCCATATCTTTTAAGTGATACAGCAATACGTCTTATACCGTCAGTTTCATAAATCACATTTACTTGACCTTGACTTCTGCTGGTTAATTTTCTACGGACCAGGCTGTCAAATACTGTGCCACTTATTCGCTGGAAAAAAACAATAATGATAATAAATGTCTTAATTACATGCTAATGCAAATATGATAATCTTTAAAAGTTAAACGAAAAACCGACTGTTAAATCGAGATGCTTGTGTAGGGCTCTGATATTAACAAGTTAACCATCTTTTGCGCCTTAATACAAAATCTTCATATTAAATATCAATCATAAAAAATATCTACATCCAAGTGCTTTTTCTGTGTCCAACAATTAAGAAATCATTGATCTGAAAATCACATTCTACGAGTAAAATCAATGTACACTGACATTTTTACTAATTAGTTATTTAAATAAGGCATTTAGAAGACAAATTTCGTGAGATGATGTCATTTAGTGGTTTCTTTGCAACCCCTCTACAACTAACATGGTTCGCAGTAATAAAATAAAATGCATGAAAATTACTGTTATATAAAACTAAAGTACATACTAATGACCAATCATATTAACATAGGTCAAGTAGTCAGACCATGGTAGGCAAAGGTTGAAATCTACTGTTTTTTATACAGATAGTTTAGGATGTATGTGATTAACCCAAAATGCTCCCATCACCTTTAATAACCTTAAATTAGATTTATGTGAAATAATTGTGAAGCTGTCATTAATATTGATTTTATGACCTGACATTGATAAGTGCTTTGCAATGGATAATGATGGATTTCTATTCAGATTAATTGCATTGGAATTTTCTATATGTTTTAATAACCATTTTGGAACATGTTCTTTTCGACGACATTGGAACATTCTATTGGACATGTGTTACGTATGCCAAGCCATCGCCTCCCTCGACGAGCAATGTTAGCGGATATAGGGTCAGGCTGGAAAAAAGCTAGCGGCGGTCAAACAAAAACTTGGCATCAGTCAATGAAATCCACAACAGTTGGTCTTAGCCACGTAGGAAGGTGTAGACTTCCAGGCTGGGGTCCTCGGGACGGCAAAAATCTATGGTTGGAAACAATTGGTGACATGGCTCAAAATCGTTCTCAGTGGCGCAGATGCATCCACTCCCTGTGACTTATGATCTCCAATGAAACTGTTTTGTATTTCTTTATTACTCCTTTGTCTCACACCTCTGCTCACTGTTTCTATTTGCTTTTCTTGTACTTTCTTCTCTTGCTTCGCGTGCTACACGGAATGTGGCGACTTGAACTTCCGCACATTTGTGCAAAGTTCTATGTCGAAAACAGACAGACATTCTATTGGTTCTACCTATATAGGTGTCACCGCAACTGCAGGTGAACTTGCAGATACAGTGTGAAGTAGAGTCTACAGAATTTAATCTTTTAATCTTAGGTTCAGGGATCGAAAATGTTCGAGATGTGAGGGAAACAGATAGGGTGTAGAATGTGCGATTGATGGCTGACCGAAATCTTTGAGCTGTCAACTGAGTAATTTGACCACCCTTGAATGGTAGGTTAATAAAGATAGCTTTCTGTGGTACGGAAGCTGTCTTTTCAAGATGTGCTCCATCCTTACTGTGACAAATGATAAAGTTTTCTGGATAACCATTAGCTAATAAAACTGAATGTATGTGTCGAAGCTCATCCATCATTGTGTAGCCTGTGCATAATTTGCGGGTCCTTGAAAGCAAGTATTTCACTAGAGGAAGTTTATACACGATTGGAACAAAGCTAGTGATATGCAGATATTGTCCGCTCCATGTCTGCAGACGTAAAATCCACTGCACAGTCGTCCCATCGCCTCTCCTAGTCACTGAAATATCCAAGAAACCGAGTTTGTTATTCGATTCAAATCCCTAAGTCACTAGGATATTTGGATGAATATGGTTAGATAGAGTCATAAAGTTTTCAATAAACTTGCTATTATTACCAATAATGAGAGTATCATCCACATAATATATATATAAATCTCGAAAAATACCCATTTATTCATAAGTAAAAACACAGTTTTTGTTCAGCGAAGAAATTTCTTTTCAACGACTTCATTTTCAAGCTGTACAGTCGTATTTATATTACAGAAAAAGGTTATTAAGTGGCACTAAATAATTGCTCAGTCAATGTACGTATATGTGATAAAAGTTATGAGGGGTAGAGTTGAAGTGGATAAATTACAAAAATATGAGTGTTTTTACTTATGAATATATATATAACACAAAATTCCCTAGCATACCTTGGATTTGTTTCTCCAATTTAAACATGAATATATCTGCTAACACGGGTTCAAGAGGACTCCCCATTGCAACACCACCGACTTTTCTGAATGCTTCTCCTTGAAAAGTGAATCTGATGTTTCCCGTGCATGTTAAGATAATGTCTCTAGTGTGACAGGAATAGGTAATTGTATCCCATTGCTTGTTATGTAATCGCAAATGAAATCAACAGTTTCATGAAGTGCAACATTGGTAAATAAAGATTCTATGTCGATTGAGCATATAACCTTTTCCTTATTGTTCAAAGTGTCTAGCATATTGGTCAGATAAAATGAACGTTTTACGGAATGATTTGATAAGGAGCCTCCTACTAGCGTAAGGACCTCCGTAATCCATTTCGCGGCTTTATGATATGGAAAATTTGACAAATCTAAGATGGGTCTCAGTGAGTTCCCAGGTATGTGAATCTTTGATAGGCCATACATCCAAGGAGCATGTGATCCGATAGCTTTAAGTTGTTGATAAAGTTTTTCATTTATAAAATCATGCTTCAGTAAGATTTGAAGATAACAATTAATCTGCATTTCCACAAGCAGTACATTATCAGCAGTATTATCCACCAGAAATTTGGAGTGATCTTTGAGGATTTCATTAATTTTATTTTGATAATCTGATTTAATCATAATGACAACGCCTTTGTCAGCTTTAAGGATAATAAGATTATCTATTTTGATTAATTACTTAAGTATGGCGTGGTGTTCTTTCGATAAACCATTTTTCTGATGTATTCTAGCGTTTAGAAATCGGTGATAAATGCCAGCAGTTTAACTCTAAACCAGTCTAGGTTATCTTTACTAGATGGGATAAAATCAGAGATTTGTTCATACAGGTTTTCATACTGTGACTGGACTTCCATTTTTTTCATTTTCGGAGAGATAGTTTTGTATTTCAATCAATACGATAATGCTTCCAACTGTTGTTGGGAAGATAAATCAGTTATATGCTTGTATACACCCTGAGGAAATTCCAAAATGTGATTCGTGTCTTTCAAAGATTTTGTTAACTTTTGTTCCGTGAAACTTATGGTCTTTTTTACCATATCACTGCAAAATATAGTAAATTTAATTTGACTTACTAGAGATAAATTATCCATAATGGAGATTAGTCTTTGTTTCGATAAATTTTGAAAGTTTGTCATTAATTTCATCGGTTTCTAATTCAGCAAGATGCCAAAGGTTGTCGAGTGAGTATTTTGACTTATTCCGACGTAGTGATTTGTAAAACGATATAGGATAATGTTTATTTTCTATGCAGTTGTGATAAAACCTTAATCGTTCAGAGTGAATGGCAGTTTTACATCTCATATTCAGAAGACCATTCAGAAGTCTTATAGTATATTTAAGGAGCCTTCGTTTGAGAAAATTAAAACAGTTAGTCCTTTTGATAAATCTGAATGAAGCATTTAGAAGGCAAATTTCGCGAGATATCATTTCGTAGTTATTGTACGTTTATAAATTATTATTATTGCAGGTTGATTGATGGAATCAGGTCGTTTGATCAGCTTACAGTACTCATAAAGATCAATTTATGCACTTGATTAATGTTAAGATGACTTAGATGGTTACTGCATATTAGTCATTAGTGAAGAATTCCACTATTAAAATCTCAGCTTTCAGATATTACTTACCAATTTATGAAGATTCGCCTTTAGGACAAGTAAACAACTTACTCGAAAAGCTGTACCGTGAGCAATTTAGTACTCATTAATAGACTTTTACCATTTAAAGTCAAAATTTGGAATTTTCGGGATAAAAAAAGAAAATCTCTATCTAGATAATAAAAAGTTGAAAATAATGATCATAATGTTTTAAGTTTCCAGACCGTAGCGTTACGAACTTCCTGGAATAGTTTGAGCGCCGAATCAAATTGATTCATTAAAAATTGTTTAAATTAATCCCAGTTTGTTTAGGAAAATCAAAACAAGATTTTTCTGGACGTTTCGCTGTCCAAGCCACAGCTTCATCATCAAATTTATGTGCTGGGATTAATTTTAATAACTCAAAATAATCATAATGACTTCAAACTGCATTCTGTGTTGGCTGACTTTATGGTTGGTCTTTAGGAGTGTATGCTTAATAATGACATGCTGAAAATGGGAAAGGGGTATAAGAATCATAGAGGAAATAGACCCAACTACTTTCGGATTACTGACTAAGATCAACAATTGCGGTACAAACCATGACTTAGTTTTTCTCAGGAGCTTGGGGTTCACAGATCTGATACGTTTTTTTAGGTGACTCCAGATACTTAATAATAAAATTTGCTTTATTCCAGAAACAGTACTATTTTATAATTTTTTTATATTTATTTTGATTTGAGGAAACCAGTAAGTTTCTAAAGAGACAATATTTGGAAAAATGAATAAAACATTTCACGTGTGTCTATAATTCAGAAAGGATGTACGTAGAACATACCAGCTACGCAATAGCCTTTGAGAACTCATGGTCTTCAAATATGAATAACGTATTGATGGTTAGTGATTGAATTCAAGATGGCCCCAGCTAGCATTGACTTCGGAAGCACTGCAGAATCTTTGGGGCAGACTGCAGATAATTGTCTCACGTTCTGCAATGCGCCCGAAGAGAACGCGGTGGGGTTTCTTCAGAACTGTACAAGAATTTGATATTTATAAGGTTCATGAACCTACACTCCTAGTAAAGCTTATTATATGACTGGATAAAACAGCATAGAGCTGAAGTAGGTAACCACAAGAATTGATTTTTTATGTAACATAAGATTGACGGATTGTTTTACGATGCTTCCCTATGCACACTCATAGCCAAAAGCGTTGTATTCATAGGACTTGCAGACACAGCTAGAAACTCGACAATCTGCTTTCAGATTTTTAAAAATAGAGCATATACTGCCTTGAATTCTTTTCCCTGTCCTATTGTTGACTTTTCTCGAAGATTCCTGTAAAGTTTACAAGTTAAAATAAACCTATTATAAGAAAAATTGTGTTCAGAGTCTGATAACCATATTTTATCCAAAGTAGTCAAAAACACATGCGAAACCCCACCACCACCAAGTTCGTAACGCACCAGTGTAAGTACGCGCTGGTATTCCACTCAATGTATTATTCCCTTGACGAAATGATAAGAACTAAAAAATTTCTTAGCGCTCGAAATTTGTTTTTTGAAGCCATTTGGGTGGAAGAAGTTAGAATTCAGGCACTGAGAAGTACAGAACGCACCGCTGACCATGGAGAGCCCAGCAAATAAATCAGAGAAAGCAAATGCGTTACACAATATTCATGAAAAAATGTCTGATGAAGTGTTATGATATCAGACAAGATATCTTGTACGGTTCAACTAATGTACGAGAAAGGTGAAGGTTGGGGAGAGGTTATTATCCAGCCAACCTAGTCAAGGATGTACCTGTTGTTTTGAGTTAGGCTAAGGTTGAATCAAGGAAATATTAGGCTTAGGGTCAGAAGACGAGGTTTACATTTCAGTGCGATGGCTTCTCCAAGGTCATTGGTGCGTTTGTGTCCCTCCGGTGCCTGACATTTAACTTTGCTGCCTTATGTCCTTGGTGGACTCCAGAATAATCTATCCCCTCGACTGACACATTTTTGACTATCATAATAAGATTAGGTAAATCACTTTATTGTAAGGTAAGTGAATGGTGTGTGGCAGAACAGTATTGATTCCGGGATGTGCTAATTCGGTTCTTCCGCGTGATCCTCCGGCCAGGTCAATAATTATTCTGGAGAAGGCGATAATGTACCAGTTCGGAAGGAATCTGGATAGCTATGTGGCTTAACGGATGAAATGTAGGGAAAGAAAACTGGGCATAAATAAAAAAAGCGAGGGTGCATGAGAAAATGATAGGAACATGCAAAAGAAGCTAACTATGCTAATGGTGATATATGTAATAAAAAATATAGTAAGATAGTGAATTTGTAGTGGACGGATTGTTTTGGAATTCCCTCCTGGCTTATCTGTTTATAATTTATGCTATTTCAGACGTTTCAGCAAACCTTGTAATTATTATACGTTTGTAGAGGTAGGTAATACTCTGATAGAAAGCTGTTCATCTTAGTACAGTCTATCTAGGAGTTAACGGTCACTGAAACAGTTCGGTCATCCGCATACTTAACAAAGTAGACATGTAAATACTGCAGTTGTTAATTAGATAAGATCACATGATCCAACAACATATTAGCAATAAATAAAAGTTGTTTCTCGCTCATCGTCAAGTAAACAGTCTATTTGGTGATGTCACTGCATATTAACTGATTAATAAAATACCTATCAAACCTAAGTTAATACGCTTACTGTACTACATACTTGGCGTTTAGCAGTATACAGACTTGCAACTGGCTAGACAGGGCGACTGTAGCGTACCGAACAGTACAGAATCATTATTCAACTTGCTAAATCCTACTTAGATTTTACGATGTGTTTTTTTATAGAAACAGACGCGAAATCCTATGAATGATTAAAGTAACAGTCTCATAATAATACAGTAAATCTCCATTCCACTAAGCTTAACACGCATTAATCTGAATTCACATATTACGAGGGCTCATAGTATAACGACGCACTGAAAAAGCCTAGAAGGAGTGGAAATTAACAGTATATTAAACATTTCATTTATTTACAAAAGAAAATTCTGATGAAGAGTATTGGCGTTAGTTTGACCTATTGACATTTCCGATGATTTCATATTCGACAACTTCCATATAACTAAAATATAAAACACAACATGAAGTTATGAAGTTATACATCAGCATACAATATGAATACACTGATTCCAGTAATACTTAGTTAAATTCTCATGCAAATAAAAGTAATTTTAGTTCACAGCTGGTCTTTATATTGGCACCGTGTGTATAAACTCACCTCATGTGTTTTCCAGTATTAGAGGATTATGCGCAAGTTTCAGACTATATCTGAAAAATCCATACTGTTGAGGCGTCATTCTCTCATCAAGATTATTTCCAGATCAACTTCATACTAAATATGTCTACACTGAAGGAGGTATTGCAAGTGTGTAACTTAGAAATCAATCAACAATCCCAGTAATGTCTAGTGAACAGAGTTTTGTGAATCCTACCGAAATTACTGTCTGTCTCAAATATAAGCCGAACATGCCTCAACTCTAAACAGCTATGCATTGTTAACAGCATAGAGAAACTTAAAATATTGTAGGATGCACAGACCTGGTGTGTTGATGAGGATAGCAATGTCATGTAATGCAACCTAGACATTCAGTCGTGGTACTGCATCCATACTGCTTCATGTAAATTGAAAAATCAGAAGAAATTCATCTCCACTACTGGTGGAGATGGGCCTCTCGCCGTCCCTCGAAGATTTTAAGAAATGCTTAATATTGACGACGCAAAAACCAGAACACAGATTGGCAACTCGAGAATTCTTTATTCTAACGCCAACACATAACCAGCATTAATGGCATTACACACTAAGGTCTAAGAACAAATATTACAACAACAAATCACAATATTACTTCTGACATTTTTCTATCTGCTTTCTGAACAGCGAACGATGAGACGATGACTGGTGTATTGATGCCTCCGCGAAAATATGAGGAAGTCGGGTTTGAGCAAACAACCATGAATTGATCGTTCGATCTTCAACTACATTGACAGCGTGCTTCCTATTCATTCTGAGCTTCAAAAGCTGCCTTTTTCTCATCCATTTTGAATATCATGCAAGGTTGTATTTCAGTTCAGATTTCCTGTTATTTAGTCACCCACTAGGCTATCCATCACTTTGATAATACTGTTAGAAGAGGCACTGGTCTACGATGCTATGGGTTTAGTCTGTCCTCACT